ATTATGAGGGTGTCAACCCAATCCCACTTTCCTAGTAAGACAGCCAAAGAGTTGGCGGTTGGTGCTAACTGCCTTCCCTCTAGTCTATAAGCTCAAAATGCGCCGATAGTCCTTGTGTAGCTATGGGCAAATGTTCGAAACAACGGAAAACAAACTTTATCCCTTTTAGAAAGAATATGAAACAACTTTGTATCGCAGGAGTAGCGATAACGTATATTCATAAAATATTAACATTAAGCCATTGCTGCGTTACCAGAACTACTTGTACTATTGAGAATGTAGTTCAGATATAGCATTGTTGACGAAGCTAAAAGGTTTGTTTGTTTGTAACTAAGCACAAAGCTACACAATGGGCTATCTGTGCTCTGCCCACCACGGATATCGAAACCCGGATTCTAGCGTTGTAAGTCCGCAGACATACCACTGTGCCACTGGGGGGCAGCTAAAAGGAGAAAGATGATATTTTTTTAAATAAATAACTTTAATTAACATTGTTTATGACGTTACACATTATAGTTCTAATAACGTCCAGTCACGTGCACACACATAAACAGATATGAACACAATTTATACATAAATTATATATATATATATATATATAATATTATTTTAATTGAAGGCAATTATGACACCAGAAATACTTCCTGTTGGGCATGGCGCAATTGTTTAAAGTAGCACTTTAATGTTATTACCCCATTATTTACAAGCATCGTCTGACATTTATGTCTTATGTCTTCGTTCGTAGCCATTGAATAACAAAACAATTATTCTTACAATATGACAGTCATAAAAGTTTCTATATATCACAGCTACTGAGCTTCACATACACTTCCTGCAATCTTTCAATCGGTAGCATTACACATCTAGAGGTATTATTGTTTGTTAAATAATATGTTGAACAATTGCCAAGTTTTTTAATATTTATATTTAAAGAAGGATGACGTTTCAACAAAGGTCGCCGACTCGATGATCGAGCACGAGAACATCTGAACCATATTAAACTTTGGAACCAGGATACATACACCTATAGGCAAACATTTCACCATCAAAAACCACACATTTGAGGATTTCTCCATTCTGGGACATATTAATGCTCCAACAGATATTCACAAAAGAGAACGACTGGAAAGGAGAATAATCTACAATCTGGAGACCCTACAACCATGTGGTTTAAATGAATGCTTTTCTTTCCTATAAATTTTCATTTTTCCATTTTTTGTTTAAATCTTAATTGCTATCTGTTTTATCTATTCATGACTTTTCATTTTTATGTAATTTTGGAAAGAAATTTCACACTCAACGTTCCAAATACAACGCACGAATTTCTTTTTTAATTCTGCGCATGCGCCTTTGTTGTAAGTTGTACGAGCTGACGAAGAACGTTGGCTTGAAACGTCATCTTTCTTAAAATTTAAATAAAAAAAAACTGGGCGATTGTTCAACCTATTATTTAATTTCGATATATTTGTCACCTACATGGCTTTAACTATACATATTTGTTTTTAAACATTAAATCATTTATAAATATTCACCAGGTTTCCCTGAGCGAAATTTCTATCACTATATTACATTATATTGATGGGTCATTATCAAATGTCTACGAAACGTCTTTACTTTAGTTTTATAATAAAACAATACTTATTAGTTATTCATATCTTAGGTTGCTGTTTAATACCAGAACGTATCAAGTCAAGTTGTGACAAAAACGGTATTTTATGTGGCAATGTAAATAAAATACATTACGTTGCACAGTGTATGAACTTTAGACTACAAATATAAAGCGTTGTCGAAATGTTCCACGAATACTTTCCTTTCTGAAACCTACTATCTGGTTATCTAACTTTACAACCATAGATGGTATCCAACTGTTTTTTAAAAACATTTTGTGCTGAAACCTACTATCTGGCTACATAACTCTAGGACTATCGATGGTCTCCAACTGTTCTTTAAAATCATTTTATGCTGGAACCTACTATCTGGCTACATAACTCTAGGACTATCGATGGTCTCCAACTGTTCTTTAAAATCATTTTATGCTG